TCCAAAAACGAACTTAATGCCCTAATATGGTATTTATTACGTGCGAGGTGCTTCCATTGTACCAATAGCCAAGGAAAGTGGAACGACATTTTCCGATCAAACCGGGCCAACCAAGAGGAATCGGACTCTTACCATTTTTTATTCCTTTTTCCGAATTCCCTACATAAGTGAAGAGAGGTGATCCCGAATATTCCGGTCGGAAGAAACCAAAGACCTTTCCATTTGACTTCCGACCGATATTTCAGGAATCTTTGGCGTAATGGAAAATAGCCGCGGTCTTCATGTGTTGGTGCACTGTAGCATGGTAAGTGAGGTGATGGAAAGTTTCCCTCTCTTTTTTTTTTTTCTTTATTATTATTTCTACCAATTAAGCAGATATTATAGGAAGGACATTTTCCCATCTTGCTTTTTGGTAGCTGCAAGCGAGGTAAACGGAAGTGTCGTGACAGCGTGACATTCATAAGTTGACAGCAAGGATCACGAGATTCGTAAACATTGTAATCGGAGACACTAGTGATTGTGAACTAGATTTTTATCGAGAGAACACAGAGAATAGCAGAGATAGGACGCGTTGTAACAGTGGAAGAGAATTAAACAAGGATTTGTCGAGCACAAGTGAGTTGTGAGTGTGCGAGTTAAGGTGTACCCCACAGTACAAGTTTGGTACAGAGGAAACTTCCGCTTAATCTTAATTAGTTTGCAAGGAGTTGTGAGTTTTTCGGCCCGGTAAACTGTACTGACTCAGTCATTGGGCCGAGCGAATGGGTTTTATCCCCAAACTTTTTACATTGTCTCGAAATGAGCAGTCGTCCAGTCCTTCGATTTTACGGGGGAACTATTAAAAAAACAACAACAACAACAATTAAGAGCCTGGTTTCCCAAGAGACAAAACAACGGACAACAGGGAGCAAAAAAAAAAAACAATAATAAAAAAATAAATAATAATAATAATAATAATAATAATAACAATAATAATAATAAATTATACATCTTTCGTGGCGGTGCTTCTCGATATATCACCTTGATAGTTACCTAAAATCTGTAAAATTCGCGTCACTTGAACGTTTCCCTGCTTATATTTGGATATTAGTCAATTTTACTTCATCAACATTTTCATATAAAAATTAGCGGGGGAAACTCAAAATTTCATTCTAAAACTAGAAACTGACCTTCAAAATCCGTTTTGATACAGACGGAAAACTATTTGCGCGGAATTTCACGCACAAAAGAAAATCGAAAACTTTTGTTTCTTCTGCCAAGTGTAGCATTTACTGAGTAAAACGTTAACGTTAAATTAAAAACTCAAAGAAAAACACAGAAAAAAAAGCAGTGGCTCGCGGCTGCGGCTCGCAGGCTCGCACATTAGTTACAATCAATATTATCAGTATAAAGGTAACAAATGAAGCTTACCTTCGGCCATGGCTTGAAAACTGGCTCGCTGTCACTGGTTATGTGACCACCA